AAAAAAAATGACTTCCTCCCACGACGCGAGATTTTCAGAGTCGCAGAAATTAAAACCATCCTCAAGAAGGTCTTGAAGTCCTGACGGCCAGAAAACAAAACGAAACAGCAAAACACGAACAGAACGAATAACCTAATTCAATCATACACTTGCTTAGAACTTAACACTCATCCCTCGCGCTCGGATTCTACTCCTGGTCGAATCCCTTAAAATCAGGACACTCCGAACGGAAATGTCCAACCTTCCCGCAGGACCAGCACTCCCGACCCGCAGCGGACTTTCCCTCGCGCCAACCTTCTTGTCGTCCGTTACTCCCCTTTTCTTTTTCCGCGAGATTTTTGCCCATATTCGCTCCCTGTACCTTTTTCCCATTTGCCTCTTTATTTCTTACTCCGCCCCCTCCACTATAAATTTCTGCCTTTCTTTCAAAACCCTCCCCTCCTTGAATTATTCTAATCACTTTCGCTCTTTCAATCGCGATTTTTAAAGAAGAGACTCCCTCTAACTGGAGAGTCCGCTTCATAAATCCGTCTGTAAGCGCAGCGATATATTGCGCACAGGCTATCTTATCGCGCACGGCGTAAGGGCATTCGGGATACGCAAACTGTGCGAGTCTTTCCAATTCCGACCCCAGAGTGGCCACATCCTCTCCGAATTTTTGCCTTCGGTTCGCGAATTGAGAATAATAAGACTGTTGCGAGTGTGCCTCACCGAAACGCAATTCGAGTTTCAATATTAAATTTGCGAACCCCAAATTTTCGAAATCCGGCACAGTCTCCAAAACGGAGCGCGCTTTTCCCCTTAAACTTGCGGCGAGGGCGACGGTTTTCGGAGCGTCGCTCCATTGATTCGCGCGCGCGACCAAATTAAATTGTGCGAGGAACTCGCGGAACGACACCGTCCCGTCGAAGGTGTCGGGCTTCAATTTCTAGCCCAACATCGCGCGCGCGTCGCCCTCACCCGCGGAAGGACATCCTACACTCACGCGCCCCGAATCCGCGCCCCCAAGAAGTCTATTTTCGGAGTGACTTAGCTGTTCTTTGAGAATGCGTAGCTCCTCGTCTCGGGAACGCAACGCCGCCGCGAAGTCCTGATCCCGGCGCGTCTGTTCCTCGCGCATCTGGCGGATCTCTGCCATCACCGCCGCAATTTCCATACTGTGTGTCGGCTCGCTCGCTGGCGTCGTCTCCATGCGGCGTCTTTTCCTAGTAGCGTAGGCCGTCCTCGCTCTCCGCCGCTCGTCCGGTCCCGGACGAGCCCCCAAAATGTTGCGCTCCGCGCGCGTCTTCGCGCTCACCGTTCGCGGTGTCTCCGCGCTCACCAGTCGCGCACTCGGTTCTAGAGGGTGCCGGCACTCCTCCGCGCACGCATGCGTCAAAGAGACACACCAGTTAGAAAGAACAGGAACTTTATTGGAATTAACACGTCAACACGGCTCGAGAGCCAAGCTTCAAATCTATCGATTGATTACATTCAAAATAGTTGCCGATCGGTATCGTGGCAACCCGCCACGATACCGGGCGCCGCTTTCCTTTAGTGAACAGGATTCCTTGCGAGCGTAACAATATAATATTATTTATTGTTATATAACATAAAATAACACATTTTTCCATAAAGTATTTTATTTATTATAGAAATATTATCGGATACATTTGACAAAATTGCACATTCTATTTATCTGAAGAAACAGATTACAATTGTATATAATATAAAAATTAAAAATTACAAAACATACACTGTTACAATAATCGTATCATTTTCTGATGTCTTATACATTTCCCAAGCTTTGGTAAATGGAAAATTGACCATTTTCATTATAAAGAAGGAAGAATTATTTTTTACGATGTATCCCAAAAGTGGAGATATGTCAATAGTATTCCAACTTTCATATC